CTTTCCAGAACTCTCTTAGGGTCAATTCAGAGTCTGACATTATGTTAAAGCACCTCTGAAACACTGCTTTGGTGTAGAGTTTTTTGAAGTTTGAAATGATCTGCTGGTCCATGGGCTGGAGAAGAGGAGTGGTATTAGGGGGCAAGAACTTCAATGTGATGAAATTAAACTCCTTCACCATTTGCTCTTCCAAGTCTGGAGGATGAGCAGGAACAATGTCCATTACCAGGAGGTTTTTCATACGACCACTGATTTCTAAGCTAAATCACGAAAATCAAGCCAATATTTTGACGAAAAGAGTTGCCAATTTCCAAAATTCACGATATTCAAGGGGGACGAAATTTAAGGGTCCACTGTATTAACTAGACTCAACATACGAGGAAAACAGGATTCAATTCCCACCACCTTAAAAAAAAAAAAAAGTTATTTTTTGTAATTTGTCAAAAATAATAGTGATCCCTACCTTACATTGTAACTGTTGTTACATATGAATGTGGAAAAGTGGTGAGAGGGTTGACGAGGCTCTACTAGGCCTAATTAGTTGTTGGTCAGAAAATGTTAGGTGGTGGCAGCTGTGATCACACTTGGCTGAGATGATGGATGTGGTTCTTGTGTTGATGTGAATGGCTGTGGTTCTTGGGTTGATGTGAATGGCTGTGGTTCTTGGGTTGATGTGAATGGCTGTGGTTCTTGGGTTGATGTGAATGGCTGTGGTTCTTGGGTTGATGTGAATGGCTGTGGTTCTTGGGTTGAGGTGAATGGCTGTGGTTCTTGGGTTGATGTGAATGGCTGTGGTTCTTGTGTTGATGTGGATGGCTATGGTTCTTGTGTTTATGTGGATGGCTGTGGTTCTTGTCTTGATGTGGATGACAGTGGTTCTTGTGTTGATGTGGATGACAGTGGTTCTTGTGTTGATGTGGATGACAGTGGTTCTTGTGTTGATGTGGATGACAGTGGTTCTTGTGTTGATGTGGATGACAGTGGTTCTTGTCTTGATGTGGATGACAGTGGTTCTTGTGTTGATGTGGATGACAGTGGTTCTTGTGTTGATGTGGATGACAGTGGTTCTTGTGTTGATGTGGATGACAGTGGTTCTTGTGTTGATGTGGATGACAGTGGTTCTTGTGTTGATGTGGATGACAGTGGTTCTTGTGTTGATGTGGATGACAGTGGTTCTTGTGTTGATGTGGATGACAGTGGTTCTTGTGTTGATGTGGATGACAGTGGTTCTTGTGTTGATGTGGATGACAGTGGTTCTTGTGCTGATTTCTCAATGAAGAATTGTCAGCAGTTGATGGGATGTACAACAGCACTTAAAATACTTTAATAGTACTCAATCCAGTGAATGCATCAAAGACACATTTTGTGGCAAAACTACAACCTACACATTTGACTCTAGAAACTCCAAGATTCTGGGATGAATATGAGGGTAATAGAGGAATAAAATAATGCTTAAACCAGTCAACAAACAGTTTCACTTGTTCATGCTGCCTTTGACTATCAAATACAAGGCAAACAGGTACCATATGGCTTACTTCCTAAAACATGGGGATTCTGTGAGCAATAAATCACCACAGGCTTGCACCTAAAATCACATGATACATAATGACACAGAAGCAAACTGAAATAATCTTTATGAGCTTTGAATTCGGGTGCAAAATTATATTGCTTGCTAGTGAAAATTCTAAACAACATCTTTGAAAATAATCCTGTCTCATCAGCATTAACCCTTAAACCTTTCAGGGTCTAGAGGCTCTCTCCTAAACTCGTTCTCAGGGTTGAAAAATTTTTTGGGGAAAAAAAAAAAAGAAAATTTTTTTCTTATGAAATGATCGAGAATCTTTTCCTGGTCATAATGACACCAAAAGTATGAAATTTGATGGAAAACTTACAGAATTGTGCTCTCGCGAAGTTAGCGGTCTCGATGATGTTTATGCATCGGCGATTTCACCCACTTTGAGCCCCATTTTCGGCCAATTCCAGTGTACTAGTGGACAAAAATCATATTTATTTCACTAGAACTCCATTTTTTTCTATCGAATGAGTACAAGAAACCACCTATTTACCAATTTCAACTGTCAAATAAAGTGGTTAGAAATTGACAATTTTGCCAATTTCCAAATAGGGTCCAGAATAAACAAGACAGACATTCCTAGCACTAAAATAACAAGTTCTCTGTTCGTTAGTTACGTCCCCAGGCCCCTATTTTGAACTTTGGTAAAAAATCGAACATTTCTGCTACTTTGAGCTCAATTTCAAGGTAGTTTTCATTGTGAAACCAATCAAAATCATCTCAATTTCTGTAATATGTCTTCCATTCTATAAAATGAGACCAAGAAAACTAGAATACAACCATAAATACCACACAAAAATACAGCACAAAGTTGCCATTTTCATCCAAAAACACGGTCAGTTTTTTTTTTCTCATTACTCACTGTGTGCTGCAGGATTTTTTTTATACTGTGCACACTGACCATATAGACCCATTCTTTCATATATAGGCCTACCAGCTTTCACTCGCAAGATTTGAAGGCGCTAGAATTTAGGCGTTCTAGTACGTCAATAACCCTGGTGCGTAAGCAGTACTAGTACGTCGGAAACCCTGAAAGGGTTAAACTATGTGTGGAATACATGTCAGAGGGCTAGGCTGTGTATAACATATGCCAAACATCTGATTATTTCCAGCTTTCAAATTTGTCACCTCACCATCTTAGGTGGTGTCATGATTTGGTAACACCAATAATTCGTGACACCATAAAGAGCCCTGACACTACCTAGTGTGCCACAAACACTAAGTGGTGCCACAAGCCATGACACCAAACAGTTATATTACCACTTATAAATAGGGTGTGGAACTAACAAAAAAATACACCATTTAACCTAATATTTTTCATATTGATGATAAAAGTGAAACTCAGCCTAAGTGTCTAAAACTGATGATTCTAGTGAAACCTTATTACTTCAAATTACTACTTCATGATCCATTTATGAATCCGACCGACTCAAACACTTATTACCAGTACACAATGGCCAATGCATCTTTCAGTGAAATCTTGTCTTGGAAAGTGAAAAGATATTACTGTTGAAGCAGTGTACCTGTTCTTTACAATACTAATGCTGATGTCCTGTGCTCATAAGAACAATATATCAAAATACCGAGCACAAATAAATTGGGTTTACTTTTGTGAGAAATGCATCTGCTGCATTTCTCTCACAAAAGTAAACCCAGGAGAGATTATTAGTTGTACAAAATAGAAGTGATCCAGTATTCGAAGGAGATATTCAGTGAATTCTTTTATCCCTTAACAAACATTGTTAATGAAGTCTGGTCCTAAGAGGAAGAATGTTATGAAATTGAGTTAAATGAAATCAATGGACATGCTTGCTAGGAATAATACAGTGGCACATGTTAAGTGACAACACCTCAGCCGCCAGCACCTTGGTTACCACTACAGCCAGCACCAGTCACCAGCACAGTCAACACCACAGGTGCAAACTCCAAGTCATCACTGGATGATTCTAAACAGGAATCATTCCTTATTACAATCATCCCATCTCTCACCAACACTTTCACCCAATCTGCATTCCATCAATCATTTTCAAAGGTAAGTACTGTTGGTAGATGGCCAATGTGTTAAAAAAAAAAATGTATTAAAACAGTTTGTGTAATGAGGTACTGGAGGCTTCTAGATTCTCTGAGGCCTCTAAGAATGCTTTCCAGAAATTTGGAGCAATTACATTATATTATGTAAGGATTATATGAGCATGTTGCAGGTCAGAGGGCCATCTGAACAGTGATGTCAGTTCAATTCTGACAAGACAGCAACTGAATGAATGATGGCAATTACAATTTTATCTTTTTTGGGTGGTCCTACCTCAATGACAGAGGGCTGGTGTGTTAAAAAAAAAAAGTAATTAGAGCTTGTAAACAATGAAATAATGCAAGATTAATAATTTGAAATAAATAACACACCACAAAGTGCTCCCTCCCACCAACAACCTCCTATTCTGGTAAATATTCATAAAGACCTATCTCAAGTAAAAATTATAAACAATGATGCACATTAAACCCGTTACCTTTGTTTTATCAAAGAAACTACATTATCCCAAATAATGAAAAAATAATACACTTTATTCAATACTTAAAACTGTATCTCACACTTGGTTGTAATGGCAGAGTAAAGAAGCAACGTGCAAAATATACACTTGAATAATTTCTTGTGGGAAAACAACTTACAAGTTACAAACAAATTTCACAATGATGCACATAAATATACAAGATGAATATGCTTGTATGCTTATGTATACAAGATGAATATGCTTATGCATGATCATGACACTATAACTCAGAATATTTATTAAAAACAGTTGTAACTAACAGGCAACTTAAGGGCATGAGGACAATGCTGTCATGTTGTTTAATGCTGCCAACAATATATGGAACAAAGATGACAAGTCAGAAGAAATATGGAAGCCAATTTAGCAAGCATTCCTCATAGCTACAAGTATGTACACTATGTTGCTGAACTTAAATTTTGTTTTCACAAACAATGTATAAAAATATACATAATTTGTTTGGCTTACTTTAACTTAAGAACGTAAGTTACAGGTTACTGGATTCTTTCTGAAAAGACTCTCAACTGTAATTCAATTCTGATATTAAACATTAAAAAACTCTGTTAATAAAAAATGCTATTGACTTTTATGTGCTAATTTTAACACTTGTAATATTATTTGAAACTAATGAAGACATGTAGAAAATACTAGTGAAAGCTGTCCATCCCAGCAACATTACTAAATGGCTTTCACAAGATTTTTTATGATAAAGATGATGACAAAACACAATATTATTAGATATATAGATATTGGATGAACTCTGGAAACAAGTGAGTGTTGGTGTCTGTACTGAGGTGGAGCAAGAGCAGACCTGGACTACAGCATACAGCAGTTGAGCTGAGGCATAGGTATCAGGCACAGCAGTCATGCACAGTATAGATTACCTTCTGCAATGTTAGGTATCTGATCTTGATCTTTCCATCCGAGTTTATCTGGCGTGGAGGCACACGAGGCTAGTTGGAGGTCAACCATTAATGCCATTACTGTATCTAGCTACATTAATTCCAATACATATGATCTTTTTCTTTTATACTGCCATCATCTCAAATTCATTAGAAATTAATACAAGTCCATAACAAAGTCGAAATTAAAATATTTTTATTATTTTTATATTGTTATTTAACTTTTCTTGGAGTTTGCACAACAGAGTTTTCTGCCTCTATTTCAAATTTCATATTAGCCTTGCCAGGTACTCAATAATTTCCTTTAAAATTTCATAGTCAATATAATCTTATTTTGTACATAAAATAATAGTCTCAATAGAGAAACAGCACACTTCTAAACATTTTTCCTAAATGTACACCACTGTGTACAGTAAACCCTCTCATAATGCAGCCCAATATAGGGCAATTTTGGCTGAAAGGCACTGAAAAACTGCAACATTCGTTTTGTATCGCTAAGAAACCCTTGATATTATGCTCTGTAAATCTACAAAATTAAGCAATGTGCAAAATTTAGGTAGTAAACTCTGTAAATTTCCAAAACTTGTACTCAGGGACACAAGTGGAGCCCTGGCAGCTACCAGCTTCCCAATGAGAGAAACACAGGTTCATAAGTGGAGCCCCAGCAGCTCCCAGTGAGTGAGAGGAACTCCGGGACACAAGTGGAGCCCCGGCAGCTCTCAGTGAGTGAGTGAAAGGAAATCAGGGGCACAGGTGGGGTCCTGGTAGCTCCCAGCTTCCCAGTGAGAGGAACTCCGGGACACAAGTGGAGCCCCAGCAGCTCCCAGTGAGTGAGAAGAACTCAGGGTCACAAGTGGAGCCCTGGCAGCTCCCAGTGAATGAAAGGAACTCAGGGTCACAAGTGGAGCCCCAGCAGCTCCCAGTGAGTGAGAGGAACTCACTAGAAAATATTTTCCTTAGCTAACAAACATTTTTCAAAATCTATATAACTTATGAATGCCTAATTTAGAAACAGAATATGTATAAAAAGCTTGAAGAGAATATTTAGTACATTACTATCAAGAATACACTAAAGCTCAGCATAAGACTAGGACTACTACTTGGATTAACCCAGAATACAACTTCAAAATAATTACAAATTTCAGTGCCTTAACAGTTATGTACTTATGAAATCCTACTTAACAGTCTTTGTCTAAATCTTAAGCAACAGTTAAATATTAGGTTTAGTTTGCCCAAAATGCATTGCATACTAGTGGCTTTTTATGCCTACCATTGTTTTATTAAATGTAAACTACATTATCTGTGCCACATAAAAAAATAAAAATTGTATGTTGGCTATCAAGTGTGAAAAAGTAATTAAATGATAAAGTTGTGTGGTAGAAGAATGATTTCAGAGCCCGGCCATAGGCCAACCCTTAACACAAATGACTTTGTCATTTGTGTTAAGGGTTGGCTACTACATCTTATGCCACATTGTTCCATAGTGGCAATTCTTCACATCTGGTTACAACCTACCATATTACTGGGAGCTGGGCACATACAGCACAAACTGTCACAGACCTTAAAAAAGAAACAACCACCATCTCCTACCCATTATATTACAATTGTACTTTTCATGGTTATTACAGAAAACAACCACCTTTTGCGCATGTTACATTCCAGAAAAATGGAGCTATACATGAAAATACGATAGGTGGAATGAATGACCACCTCCAAAAAAGACAAGCAATTTTTCTTCTAGATACATAATACACCTAATATAATAAAGTACTGTACAATGATTTTATAAGGCATGCAGATATTAAAGGTACATGAAAGCATGTTGTTATAGTATGATACAGAATGATTTAAACTAGCATAACCTATTAGTCAAGCAATGTCAATGCAATGACCTTTAATTCTGGTTGTTATTGTTATTTAACTGGCTTGATGTCAGTGGAGGCTTGGTGTGGTCCTAATGGGGTACAAATGAGATGGCTGGGGTTCATGAAGTGGAGGGCTGAGATTCATAAATTTAAGTAGATGGCTAGGATTTGTGACCTGAAGCGGATGGCTGGGATTCGTGGGCTGAAGTGATGGCTGAGATTGGTGGGCTGAAGTGGATAGCAGGGATTCATTGGAAGAAGTGGATGACTTGAGTTCATGGGTTGAAGTGAGTGGCTGGGGTTTGTGGGATGAGGTTCAATAGTGTTGTTACTTATGGGATTCCTGAAGTATTCTGTCATGCATTACCCAGCATTACTTATACAGCTGGCAGTAGGGTATCACTGCTTGGCTCAGCATCCATTTCAGAGCAGTATTTCTAGTGTGTATGCTCTGCATACAAAGGGGCTTTGGCATGTACACCCAACTATTATATTCCTCTGTACAACCATGTAATTTGTCAAAATAAACATCTTAATCTTAAAGTCTGCAAGTTTAGCAGCAACATGGAAGTGTTCACATATATGTTGTAGTGTTAACTGTTTTTTCTGTAGGCTTTTCTTCCTCATCCTCTTCTACTGTGTGAGTCCTGCCTATCTGAGAACTGAGCACCACCATTTCCTCTGGACTCGCTTCTTCCTCGTCATTTTCTAAGATTTCACTGACATTTTATGGCTGCATTTCTTCAAAGCCATCACTTGACAATCTCCTTGTCATTTAATCAATTTCTTGGCTTTGACTCTCAACTGAGGGAAAAAACCTGTGAAATTATTCACCACATTCAACAAATTTTCCCCAGCCTGAATTTATTATTAATCTGGGCAAGTTATTCCATGTAGCTTTGATGCGTGGTAAGGAAATGTTGAATTCATGGCAGAACTCAGGCAATCCATTGCTCTGGCTTAATTACACCTTGATCCAGTGGTTGTATCAGTCATGTCATATCTGATGGTACAAAACCTTTACATTTGGGTTCAAATCCTGCAACAGTTCACAATAAGCATGGGAAAGAGAGTCAGGACAATCTTGAATGCAAGGTTCTTGCTACAGACATAAAACATGACTTCAGGAATAAAATGATCCTTAAACCAGTCAATAAATAATTCCTCTGTCATCCATGCTGACTGGATTAGCTGCCAGATAACAGGCTAAGTGGTTTTGTCTTTTCATTTTAAAGCACAGAGATTCTTTGATCAATAAACAAGCAAGGGTCTGCTTGCTTACTGCAACAGGTGATGTTGCATTAGCAAACAGCATCAAATAAATGGTCCTTTGCTGTCTGGAATCCAAAAGCATTTTTTCTTTGTTCGATGATGGAAGTTCTAGAAAGTATCTCTTTCCGAACAATCTTGTCACATCAATATTAAACACTTGTTCAAGTATACAGCGACGCTCAGAAATAATTTCCAACAACCTGGCAGCAAAATCCCCTGCCGCTGCTGTTTGGTCGGCAGAGGCACTCTTCCCACTGAACTTTATGCGATGAAGCTCACTGTTCAATCTAAAATGATTAAACTATTCAAGACTAAATGTACACTCATTTGCAGGCTTTCTTTCCTGCTCATGCACAGCTTTATTATAAGAAGATGAAGCTTTCTCATAGACTGCAAAGAAATTAAGTGGTGCATGTTTCTGTTGTCTCCTGAATCAAGTTATTCAGGATTATTTTAGTTTTATTTAGCTGTATCAACCACTTTATAATTTTTTTCAATGAGTCACAATTTGGGTTACCTATAACACAAGCTCTTATCTTCTCAATGTCTTCACCTGAAGGAACTGTTAATTCCCTTGCCCTACAGGCCTGGACTGCATCAACCACATTTACACCACCTTTAACCCTTTCAGTGTCGGATCCATAGTACGTATTACGGCTTGAGAGCCAGTGTTGGTCCCGTAATACTACCCCAAAATTCTAGCGCCTTCAAATCTAGTGGGAGAAAGCTGGTAGGCCTGCATGTGAAAGAATGGGTCTGTGTGAGTCAGTGTGCGCAGTATGAAAAAAAATCGGGTCACCCGCATTGCATTATGGGCGTGCTAATTCAGTACTCCTTGGTCACCAACCCTAGCGGTAAGGAATACCTCCCTCTCCAGCATATTGGGACTCTTCCCTTCCCAAGTGATAGTTCTAACACAGATTGAAGTGTCAGTGAAGATGAATCGCATGGTTTTGAGGAGTTTGTGCCAGAAAGCAATGCCCAGGATACCAGAAATAGTGATGAAAACCCAGACCATTATCAACCTTCCACCAAGTCAGACAAAGTGACTTATTTCCATGTGGGGGTGGGGGGGAAGACAGCATAGTTGAGGAAGACAGTGTGGGTTGTGGGGAAGGCAACATCAGTGGTGAGGTAGGCAGCGTGGGTCTTTTAAAAAACCCATAGCGCCCGCATGTTAATTACCTAAAAAAACCCAAAAAACATTTCAGACAAGTGACTTTTTCCATGTGGGGGGTGGGGGAAAATTTGGCAGGGGTGGTGGGGAAAACCCAGTGGGGAAATAGTGGGGAAGGCAAGGGTGGGAGGGGGAAGGCATTTTGGTACGGGGGGGGGGCAGTGTGGGGTATTTGGAAAAGGGCCCATTTGGAAAATGATGGGGAAAAGGGGCAGGGGGGGGTTTTTGGGGGGGCAACGGCAAGGGGGGGTGGGGAAGACAGTGTGGGTATTTGGGGAAGACAAGTCGGTGGGGGGGAAGGCTGCGTGGGTTTGCGAAAACGGGTTTTTGGGTCAACAATAAATGAAACAATTTTGGGGCGTAAAGTGTAAGAGTATCAAATGATTTAGATAAAGAAAAATTTAAAATATAAAATTTGTGGAGGGGGAGTATGGAAGAAGGGGAATTTTTTTAAATTATTTAAGAGTTACTTGTCAGCGGAGGGACTTAAAAAAGGATGGGGTTTAAATTTAAAATAAAAATTGATAATTTAAAAAAGGTTTGGGTGCATTGAGGTATATGTGGAGGAAAAAAAATGTTACCCTTGGAGGAAAAAGGGGGAATGTATGAAAGTATAGTAGTCCCAAAACACTCTTAAAAGAGGGGAAAAAGTTTGGGGTTGTAAATCCTGCAGTGAGGAGGGGCTGGGGGCCCGTGGAGATGCCCCTGTCAAAGGGCCAATGTTTTGGGAAAAAAAA